TAGTAGTAGTAGTAGTAGTAGTAGTAGTAGTAGTAGTACTAGTAATAGTAGTAGTTTCATGTAACGTCCGATAAATCATCGGGCAACGTTGCACACTGAAGTGAACTGTGGGTCATAAATCATGAGCAGCCTCCTGAACAGAGCTTTAAGTTTTAATGCATCCGACAAAGCAAAGGGAGACCGGAATGGCCATTTCTGGCGTGTTAGCCGTCATCAGCCAGTCATACCGAAGCTCAAGGGTCGGCACCCTCTAGATTCGAACCCGGAAACTTTGGTCATTGAGGTTATCACGCTGCATTGCTTTAAGTCGCTTAGTTTTTTTAAAACAGATAATTTTTTGGAAGTCAGCAGTCTTTGAAGATCAGGGTTGTTCATAAAAAGACTATAATAACTACTATAATCATTAACGAATTCGGACAAGAAGATAGGTACTAGCCAAATTCGTTTTTTCTAAACAGAGTGACTCTGAGAGGCTGAGATTTTTCCCCACAGGAAGGCGGTATGCCAAGACAGTTCCCTATCCTGAAGTTAATGACCGAGATGCGAATAGATTAATACATCACAACATCATCATTACCCTTTGAAGAGGGCTTCGATTCGGAATAGGAGACTGCCGACGAATAAAGTTCTTGTCCCAGCCATCGCGTCTACTTCTTCCCGACTGCTTCCTGAGACTCGCGTTTTCGCCTATACGCACGACTGAATCTATCACGAAACGCTCGAAGTGGTGACTTAGAGGTCTGTCCACCGATAAGAAAAGTCGGTCTGGTGTGTGGTCTCTGTGGCACTCTCGCGCGTGTGGAAACATAGCAGACGCTATAGGTGCCAAGTCGTGTGTAGTGCACTTGGGCAGACTTTCCAATCTTATTTGTCAATGCGCCCGCGTCTATCTCGGATCGTCTTACTATCGGAGCAAATCGGGCGAGGGAAGCAGGGGTAAGGTGGACGCGCCGTGCGAGTCCGCATTATTTCCTGCTCGCCATTTACCCGAGAATCGTCTTATATGTGGAAATTAGTTGGCCTAATTTGATTTTCACACTTTTCAGTGTATCTGAACCACAACAATGACATCTTCTACACTGGCACCGTTTGGAAGCGACTCATTTCCCGATGATTGTTCGTAATTATAGGTTCACTAGTTGGCCATTGTGGATTATTTGTAATATTCCATTGTTGTCTGTTCTTCATACCCCTTTTTGCTCACGGTAAACGGAGGACTTTTTTGCTTAAAATTTTAAAAAATATTTTCTTAAATAAAAGCTGGTCTCACTTAAAAAACCGCCTCACTATAAATTGATTCTGGCTCCAACTACTAAACACGCGCGTCAGACAAGCTGAACTAACACGGAGACCAGATTAAGGCACAGCGCGAGTTAACTAGGCTGCGCAGAGTCCGTGCATCCCATAACAAACGTCGCACATGGAGTTGTAGTTGCGCGCAACCTCATGCCATGCCAGCCACTCTCACCCAACCACGATACCTGATAGCTGACAGGTTCAGGCGGCACACTGGTCCATCGAGTGCGGACGAGTTGTTTAACATTTTCAACTACTGTTTCCAATCCCGCCCCCGGTTGTCCTAATTCAACCTTCTCAACAGGCTCAGGTGAGTGAGACGACAGAGTGCGGCGGATGCTGCATAAGTCTACTATTCTTGTAAATTATTCCCCGCGTAAGTCACCATCTTGTGCTGACCACGCAGTGGACCCCGTCACTTGCTCGCGAAAGTCAAACTGTCACGCACTTCACCGAACTGAAGTTTATTTATGCCTGGTACTCTCTCGTACTACATACCGAGTATTTATTCAGTTCGTAGGTTCAGAAACAGTGGTTGTAAATCGACAGGACCGGATTTCGGGCACTCTAGCGAGTAAAATAAACATGCTCCCTCTCTCTCTGACACGCAACAAGGGTAAACATGATTATTAATGCCGAACCCGCAATCTAGCACGTTTTACACTGGACAGCGTACTGAAGAGCTTAACAGAGCCATGGAGTCGACTGGGATTCTTAGAGCGGCTAGTTGCATTATCCATTGTTCGGCTTTCAGATGTCGGAAAATAAGTATGAATAATCAGCATTAACATAAAAGCAACGGTGACATGCACTCCCGTTAAGGAAACGGTGACGTAGGTTGAAGCGGTACCAGCAGCTCGCCAAAAAGTATATACTTGAAAGCACTGCCTTGGACTGAATTCTTTGCTAATGGGTACCTGGTGAGATCGAGACATGAGCTGTGAAAAGGAATCAAACTGGGTGCCAAAGTCGCTGTTTCACAACCGGAAAGGCCACGCCTTTCGGCTCAAAACAAATGACACAGCAAAAGAAGGCTTACGTCAACATGTGTTTGCGACGCATGTAAGAAGAGTGAACTGATGGAGGGGGACACAAAAAGTTTGTTCCAACTGACCTGAGTGCTGTTGGGGATCATGTCACTATCGTAGTGAATAAGGCAACCGTTGACGTAGAGTAAATTTGCAGCGTTTGGCTCTGCCAAATGCAGTACTTTGTAGGAATTAGAAGCCACCTCGCTGATTGCCTAAAAAGAACACGTAAAATATGTGTTAAACATTACTTGCAGTCAGAGATCTCAACATAAAACTCAACGCCGCTTATAGCTGCCTGCTTGCGTATACAACATGTACGAGAGCAACATGAATCAGAAAAACATTGATGTGGGGGATTAACTGGTCTCGTGAAGGGTCGGAGTCACTGTATGGTAAAAAAATTCAATCTGCGGTTTAGAAACATACCCCTTCAGCCATTCCAACTAACAGCGCTATATACTGGATTTAAGGGAAAATTGCATGCGATTCTGACGCAGTTAACCCTGTTCCTGCACGGTATCTGATCGACCTCAAATACGTCGACTATACTGCAGTATGAACACCAAGTTCTACGTTGTCAGAAAACGCAGCGCCCCAGATGGTGTAGTAACAAGAA